GCATGCTCTTGTTCCCACTTGAGTTTCTTATTCTTATTATATCGGAGGCGTCGTGATAATTTCCTTTTCGTAGCTGGCACATCCGATGAGGCAGTTTCTTCTCTTTCCATATTGTTGGATGACATAATTGCTAAGTTTACGGTGTATTACTAGTAGGCGGGAAAATATAAAAGCAACGCAATTCGACGAGCCGTTAGGTTTTTATTCCTAGAGCCGAGTCCTACTCACTTGCAAAGCAAGGGCACTTACGTGCCAGACGAATAACGTATACTTTCGCGAAAAAACGTGGGAATGTAAGTAATCGTCGATAATCGGTAGGTTGCATATTTACAACAATCAACCAATCAAGATTCTACCCAAATAGTATCGTACAACCTCGGTAGTCACATGCCCGCACATTTTTTGTTGCATTCCTTAAAAGTTCCTCGCGATAGTCTACACGAATTCCTTCTACGCGAGTTGTTCTTTTTCTACTTGCATCGATAAAAAAAGTATGTAGGACAAGTCTTTCGTCTGATCCATCGTAACTTTACTAATTCTTCGTTTTCAGTGAAACATTTTTCCAGAAGACCACTTTTCCGATTCCTCACTCAGCCCGATGTCATATCTGCGATTAATTCTATAACTGCTGATAATATATTCGACTACTATCAGCAGGAAATGCCAAATAGCAAACTTTCGCAAGTATATCAAGTGATAATCCAAGATTTGGAGGAAGTACTCGAATCAAATTTCTTTAAAGAAGATACGACGCGTGTTCTGAAGAACATTAGAGACACTTGGGTTGTAAGTAAACTATTTTATATATTATGAATTGGAGGATAGAGCCTCTCGTTTAGGAGAGGGCTTAAGTATCTGAAAGGAAGTAGGGACTGCGTGTCGCTTACTTCTGGCGTATGAGGACTGCGGTCGCTCATATGACCCTGATCGGTGGCAAACTTGGGGACTGCGGTCGCTCAAGTTTGGAAGTCTGGGGACTGCGGTTGCTTGGACCTAAACCACTCCTCCCCAATCGTTTCGAGCTAATTCGTGTGAGTCTTATAACTAATGTTATCTTTTCATCTTGAGACGTGGAAAAAACAACGCATTCGATTCTATAAAAATGAAGAAGCGATCAACAAACAAAAGACCGGTCGCGAAGTTCAGTTTGTGAGTGCATATTTGTTGGATTCTTATTTTTTTATTATAGAAAATGAGCTCATTACAATCACTGTTTTCTCTTTATAAGCAAACGTGCGTCTCGAAATATCAAGGAGGTATTGCTAAAGTTACCAACACAGAAGTTGATAAGTGGGCTGAAGAACTGGTAAACGTTTGTAAAGAAAAGATAGGTCTTAATCACGATCAGTTATAAGCTACAAAATTTTTTTTAATTGCGAATATGTTGCAGGGAGAACCTTCAGTCCGCAGATCACCTCGACCAATGAAACGCATTAACTACGCTGAAGATAATTCAGACGAAGAGAGGGAGATGAGGAGAGTAAATAGTACTGCTCATTCGCAATCGACGGAATCTCCACAACCTAGAACCCCACCGCAAGCTTTTCGGGATTTAACTCCATTGAAAACAACTCCGAATAAGCGACCGCGGAATAAAGAGGAAATTCAGCGGTAAGTTTCCCATTTACTACTTGCTGTGTGTCACTTAACAAATGGAGAAATTCTAATAGTCTCTTAACTCGCAAATTCCTCCAGATATTCCGAAGATATCTCTGTTATATGTGCTTTTGATAAATCTGTTTCGGAGTTGAGCTTAGAAATCGGCGAGGAGCTTGCCATTGAGCTATCCTCTATTCGTGACATCAATCCTGCTGTGTGGTCACATGCTCTGGAAAAATACGTTGATACTTCTCTTAAAGAAACTGGAAAAAAATTCAAAACTGCAATTCAGGTTGAAGTTCCGAATGAACCATTTCGGTTGTATTGTGAAAAAGTTCTTCTTGATTTGTAGGTAGATGTTAGTATCTGATGTTGTTAATCAAAATAAATATTGACCATTGATTCTTTTTTAGTTATAATCTTGTTGATGTAAACTCTACAATGGACTGAAATATAGGCGAACGGAAATTTATTACATATCAAATCTCATCGATTTTAAAATTTTATGAGAGGACGTTTTTGAATCTTAACTTCGATTGGATTGAAAGCCATGCATCTTCAGCAAAAATAACAAAATCCACAACAAATTCAGGCATAGTTAAAGTAGATTCCAAGGCAACTCGGTATTCAGATGGACAAGAAGTTTGGCATATGGAAGTGGCTGGTGGACCGTGCAAAACAACAGACGTACATACCCTTGGTGATACGAAAAAAACTATGCGAATGGATGTTTTGAATTTAATTGGAATTTTACGAAATCACTTTGATTGTGACATAAAACTCGCCACTAAAATCAAAGTGTTCTGTACTCAGGTGATTGGTAAGTAATAGTATAATTGTTTGTTGTTTTGTTTTTTTTGATATTCATGTTTCCTGTTTCTTCAGGTACACGAATGACTCTCTATGCATTGAATATGCTCCCGGATGGAAGATTTCTTTCTTCAGAACTTGCTACAGCTTTAATCCCTTTCAGCTTCCATGGTCGAAATCAATATAAAGCTCTTCTCAGAATGATGGCTATCTTTCATGTATGTATCTGATGATTTATGTTCACATATTTTATTTTTCAAAAAAAAATACTCATTTGATAGTGGTACCTTTTTCTTAGGATGAGATAACAAAACAAGAAGAACTAATGGGCGAGATTGAACGATCTGTACTTCGACCTAAGGGAACAACAGTTCGTCATGTATTAAAGATTCCTGATGAATTGTTCGAGTGAGTCTGTATATTTAAGTTAGCTGATGATAAAATAGATTTTCTGTAGACACTAGCTGATTTAATATTCACACTAACATTAACTAATTATCATCACATATACTTAGTATTAATGCAGATTAACAAATAAAAGCTGTTTATCTGAAAAAATATTGCAATACAATTCATACGAATTGACAATCAAACGTGATATACATTATTTTATTATGTGTTTGGACTTTGATTTAGTCAAACTTTCACTTTCGTAATATTCAGCTTATTCGTGATCACGTGACGTTGTGATATCATATCACGATCTATGCATAATGATATCAAAATCATTAATAAAAAATTTACGCTATTTACTATGGTTGATATCTTGTGTGATGGGATAGTACATCTATTACCGGAAAATTAAATCATGTACTTGTAGAGGTGAAACCTCATTGCTCCGCAGGCCCGGTAGGGGCGACTCGAAGAGTCATAATACACCCGAAATAGATTTTATGTATCAGATATGGAACTTCTACGGGCAATATTTTACCGAATTTGAATAAAAAACATCGATGCGATGTGCAATAAAAAAATTTTACTTTATTGTAACATATATAGGCACACAGATGCTAGATACATCAGTATAAATGTATCGTTTATAAATGTCTATTGTCTGCGAAGCAAGGAATTCTGTATCTAATAGGCATAGATTGAAAGGTTCGATTTTGTACAAGTTTCGCCGGTATTTAAATCATAATAATAACCTTCATCATCATCGTCAGAAAATCCATAGAACCCTTCCTCTTCGTTGTTATCAGAGAATTCGTCATCATTTTCATTATCCCTAGTTGCGTTAGCATTCTCACGGAGTGAGACATCTTCATCGTTATCGTCAGAAAGTGCTCCGCCGAAATTATATTCTTCGCTAATGTAGAAATCCTTGTCAGCATCAGAGGTATTGTCAACTGGAAGCTGGTTCACGTCTTCATCATAGGATTTCTCATCATCAGGTGATTCCAAGTTAGAATCTAAGATTTCATCGGGTACGCTTACCTCAGTTTCCGGTAAAGATCTAGATGCGAGAACGTCCTCACTATGCAAGACTTTCTTACTTTCCGCGTCTTCCAAATTAGAGGTATGATATGATGGGATAGGGGTTGTGGTTGATTCACTTATTTCATAATTAATCTGATCATGAATTTTATTCACGGTTTTTGCTTCGCTGGCATATAGTGCCTATACATATTATTTGAAACACATACCATGGACAGACTTGTTAATCGATGCCTCCAACGACGCGATTCGGTCAAGCAATTCCTGTTCACGACTCGAAGCGGTGGTTGATACGGGTGGTTCGACTATGACATGGATACATTCTTCGGCTGGTAAATCAGGGAAGTATTTCGAAATCTTTTTCGTTGCCAGAAGTTCGACTTCTAATGCGGGGTTGGCCAACTCGGAATCGCGATCGTCAGGAATTTCCACCTTCCACAGCTTGAGATCTTTGGCGTCGACATTAGCAAAGCCTGCGTGTTTTCCGCCTTGATAACTTTTTTGAGCTCACTAATAGGCTCATCCCTATTTATTTTAACAGAGAAAGCGTTCACGGGTGTGTTTCCTTTGACAAGACAGAATAAAGTAATGGACATTTCGAGATATACAAGATTTTTTGGTGGAATGTTATTGGTAGACTGCGGAATAAAACAAGAAAAAAAGCGATAAAACGATAAATGAGGTAAGCAATGCCATGTACTACGTTACTTTTGGTAGAAATTTTTCCGGGTGATCGCAATCGGAAATTTGGTCATAGTAACAACCAGAAGGTCACCATAAAAGTTCCATAACCTTCTGTGATGTGTTGATCAAACATCTGTGTTACGCAATCAATAGTAACAATCAGGGGTACCCCAACAATTACAGGTCACGCATTAACTCTAGCAAAAGTGATCGGCAAATCTCGGGAGATACTTTTTGGTACTTCCGTCATTAAAGAACGCAGATCGAAGGCGAGTCTATTATAAAAAGAAATTAATCAGGTTAGTTAGAAGATCAATTGATTTGTAATAATTGTTAAAGTTGGTGATTACGAGTAACAGATGTCCGATTGCTAATGTCAATAAGGTAAGAGTAGACAATTATTGATCTAATTAACAGGTAAAGCGTGGGGTTACCTATGACTTATTTAAAAAAAAAAGATGCTTACGTACCTGAGTCGTCCCTATAGGCCTGCTTTGCAATAAAAAGTTCTGGCACTTTCTCGTCCGTTCCCGTCCAAGTCTATAAATAAATTTGGATCTGTAATTTTTTATATAAAAAGGCGGAGAAAAAATATCTGAGACCCTTTACTCCTTCGTTATAATAATTAGCGATTTTGGAGAATAAAACATTTAACAAATTTTAGCACTTTGCTTACTTCGCTAATAAATCTTACCCACGATAAAATAAAAAGATTCATACACTTGAAATAATATCTAATTTCTAACGATTAAGGTTTGTTTATTTGTTTATACGCTATGACACCCCCCCGCATTCGTGTATGTATGCTAATACGACCAATTTCCACTTATAGATGACATCACTTGCTGTTTCGGGGATCACTCCATTTTTGGATTTCGCAGGCCTATCGATGTTCGTCGAGAAAATCTCCATTTACTTGCTCATTGGTGCCACGTTTTATTTTTCACGTATCACCAAGAAAGACATCGACATCAAGCATAATTCCGACCCTTCTGCACGTGATACGACATTTAATGAAATTCTTGCCAATCGCGATGCCAAGTTCTTAACCGAACTCACCGATCACCGTGCCAAATTTAACGCTGAACTCACCTCACGCGATGAAAACTTTACAGCGGAGATCCAAAGAATCTTGACAATACTTAATACTTCTACTGTGAGACTTGATGAGATCGAACAAGTTCTTCAAAACTACCATAACAATTTTGGCAGAGTCGCAACCGAATTCGAATCAATCAATGCTTCTATCGTAACTCTTCAAAGTGAAATAAATCAACGTTATGCGATGATTCTAAGAACTGAAGAGATTGAATTCGATCAACAAAGCGTGATGAGTCAAGCTTCCAATCATTCCGCAGGTCAAGCTTCAAATTATTCCGCAGGTCAAGCTTCAAATCATTCCTCTGCAAGCTCGGGACAATTAACGTTCACGGGTATCAGTTTGACCGTCTGGAATCAATTTAAGCAAATTTTTGATCGGATCATGACCGAAAATAATTATACTTTGGAGGAGATGTGTCTTTCTGTAGCTATGGACATTCGTTCATTGGGAGGAAATATTAAGAAGGTGACGGTACAAGGGTTTTATGAGAGAAATATTAAAAAGAAGAATGGTTATATTAGTACTTTAGATCAAATTGGTTTATGGATTGATAGTAAAACAAATAATCTAGGTAGTGAGTAGCGGGAAAGGAACTGTCATCATATGGGTTAGGGCTCGGCAGATTTCCTCCCTTGAAATCCTGCTTCTCTATATTTTACTTAGCCGACCTCTAACTCTCAATATATTTATTTTTAAAAAAAAATTAAAGATATGATTAGTGCCTGATCTTTTAATTATTGTATGCTAAGTTGTCTTTTGTTTCGCTGGCATATAATAGAGTATTAAGTCACACCGGGAAATTAATTAGTATACATGCAACGATCATCCCAAAGGGGCGAATCTTTAGATTCATATGGATCTCTCCCATTCTCATCATTATGTCACTCGCAAATATGACGAATATACACAACTCATCTAATAACCCCAGGCCCTATGGGGGGCTCTTCGAGATCCGCACTAAAAATGAATCATATATTCTTATACTATAAAGAATCAAATCTAATAGGTCCAAATCCCTAAATTCGATATAAATCACCAATTATGTCAGGTCTTATTATTACAACTATTATTGATAAAAAAGCTAAATCAATTAAGCTCATTAATAATCGTCCTGGATATGATATGAAATATGTAAAGTCATATATCTA